CAACTGCATGGCCTCTTTCTCCCTTGGCCGACGTCACTGATGCCCAACTGCATGACCTGTTTTCTCCTTGGGCAGGTCCCATGGGCTCAAAGCATACTCACTCTTACACGAGGCCGTTTCCGATTCAGCTGTTGATGTAATTGTGGTCAGACACATCCCATGTTGCGCTGTACTTCCTGGATGCAATTGTGGTCAGATACATCCAAGTTGCGCTGTGATTTCGGTCAGATTCATCCAGGAAAGTCTGTTTTTTTAAAGGACTACCAGTCCTGGAAACGGAATCCTTCAACAAAAGTTCCGTTTTTTTTCAAAGAACCTGGCCAGGTTCTTCGCACGGTCTTTTGAAAATTCGGAGTGGAGAGAGCGCATCGTCCGAATGCAGTACGCAGTGACTCGAGGCGACTCGTGCGCCATTGAAAACGTGTGAAAACATGACGTTGCACCGTTGAAATCATGCGGAAACGCGCTTACGGATTAGTCCTTGGAATGGAATCCTTCAAAAAAGAGTGAAAACGCTCCTCAAGGCTCTTCAAGGATTTCTCCGACAAAAACGTTGTGATTTCCAAAGAACCTTGTGCCACAATTTTTGAAGTGGAGAGTCATTATCAGGGGTGCATTATGTTCCTAGGGAAGACGGTAGCATCATTTGGCTGAACCCCAAATTGTTACCCCGCAAAGCGTACACCACATGGGTGCACTGTAAATGACCGGACCAGGGGCAAGGTCCCACTTGCGCAAATTAGGAGATTTCGGCCGTTGATCTTTGCCATCTACGGTCAGTATCTCTTAATTCGTGCAAGTGGGACCTAGCCCCAGGAAACAGCCCAGGACATTTCGGGCTTGCAACACCATCTGGGTGATCCGCAAATTGCTGGCCCTCATTTGGGCGCGCCAGCCCGACATACCCTCCGATCTCTGTTGTCTCTAGCTTCAGCTTGGGCCGAAGGATCTGCGCCCGGGCCCATTCAGAAAGTGGCCTGGGACCGACGAATTGGGAATTGGTATCTGCGTCCGGGCCCATTCAGACAGTGGCCTGGGACTGACGAATTGGGAATTGGTATCTGCGCCCGGGCCCATTCAGACAGTGGCCTTGGACCAACGAATTGGGAATTGGTATCTGCGCCCGGGCCCATTCAGACAGTGGCCTGGGACCGACGAATTGGGAATTGGTTAGGTGCGCCTAACCGACCCACGCACGCCGCCCTGATGTGTTCCCTGCTTCCAGATAGGCCGAGAGGCCAGCCTCTGAGTCAAGAATGGAAGAGCCTAGAAGGCGTACAGAAGATTCCGATGCTCGTGAGCAGGGGATAAGCAACCAACTGGTGCGCGGTAGAACTGTCTGGTGCATACAATGGCTGTGGAATTTTGCAATATTCAGGCCTCTTTGAGATACCGGGGCCGCCTTCCCTTAAGGCGGGCGTATAGCTTGCAGCCGGGGGGGGGGGGGCGCTATGTGGGCATGCTGAGGGGTGATATCCTCGCATGAAGCACTCCCTGACCTCAATCGTTCACATTTCAGCGTAATAAAAGAGAATGCTTCCCAAACAAAAACAAACGAACTAGGGAGCAGCCAGCTCAAGTCCTGCCACCGCTCTCCAGCCTGCCCAATTGCACATTCACCAGTTGGTCTGGCCCTAGATTTGCGTGTGTGTCCTCCTCTTTTTTTTTTTTTTTTCCCCTGTAGAACAGGTGTGATTAATATTGCAAAATAGAAACAAATGTGCGCGTGTCCTCCTTCCAAATGTAGCGGCCGTGCTTAATAATTGATCTCCTCGCTATCGTGCCAAATTTCATTTTTTTTTTTTTTTTTTAACAACAAATTCCAATTTTGATATGTGTTACGGAGTGCAGCAGGGGCGCGGTCCCACTAGCAAAGAGGATTGGATTGAACGCATGAATCTGGACGGGTTTGTGCAAGGGTGCAGAAAATTGAGATTGAACTGCCTTTCTGCATCTCTGCTGAAAACAAGCCCAGATTCAGGAGCTTTATCCGGTCCTCTTCGCAAGTGGGACCTCGCCGCAGAAGATAAGATCGTATCCGTAATCTATTTCGGACTTTTGTTAATTATAGTTTTGACCAATTCTAGATTTGTGTGTGGGTCATCCTTTGGCAGACGCCATGCAAATCTACTCTGGATCGCTTTAAATAAATAAATAAATAAATAAAATCACTGTCCGAATTAACATATGTCCTGAAGGATGGCTAATGGTTGTACATTGGATGATATTGGGACCCACACACAGACAAAATTGTCGGTTTTTTTTTTTTTTTTTTTTTTTTTTTTCAAAGAAAGAAACTCTTTCTTCTTTTTCACCTATTGCCTTTTCAGACTTGCTCTTCTTTTTTTTTTTTTTTTTTTTTTTTTTTAGACTTGCTCTTTTAGTTTCGAGTCTTTTGACCTTTTAAGAAAGCGGCGTAGCCCCCAGCAGATTTTGCATCCAACGGGATTTGAATCTGTTCATCAACACGCAGGTGTTTGCACCCATCAGCCACCGTCCATGTACATTTCTCTGTTTTTCTTTTCAGCTCATTCCTTTGGCTCCTCCTCCCCTCCCCTCCCCTCCCCTCCCCCCACTCCACCCCCTTTAAACATGTCCTTATGGGCTGACTCCTCTGATTATCTGGAGCCAGAGTTTTTTTTTTCCCTTCCCCTAATGCTGACGTGGGCGTCATTCCTCAGAAGGAGATACGAGCCATTGCTGACATGCCGCTGATATCCGCCGGCATCTGCCGAAAGCCTGAAACACTGAGATGAAAAAAAGAAAAAAAAAAAAAGAAAAGAAATGAAGCGTAGACGGATATTACTTGAAAGAAAAAGAAAAAGGGAGGGTATATTTATTACTTAAACAGGTCATAAAAACTTAAACAGTCAAAAACACTGCGCGCTCTGATGCATCAGGGAACATTCATTGCTGCAGTGCTCAGAAACTGTCCAGGGAAAGAGCCACGCTCCACTACTCGCCAAATGTGGAAATTGAGAATGAATCTTCGCCTAGAACATGGAAAGATACACCGCCATCTTTTTAGACTTTTGTGCATGTGGAGAGTAATGGAGCCAGGCCCTAAGAGCAATGTAGCTTTGCATTGCATTCTGAACGTTAATGCTACCGTCTTCACCCGAATAGAACGCCCGGTCATTATAGCCGTATTTGGTGCAGTTTTCAGTCCAGATACGGCTATAATGACCGGGCGTTCTATTCGGGTGAAGACGGTAGTGTATGGGCCGTGCTCCAGTTCTCACCAAACTTTCAAAACGAGAATGAATCTTCCTCTAGAACGTGGGAAGATACATCTCCGCAGTTTTTTCTTTTGTGCATTTGGCGAGTAGTGGAGCGAGGCCTCCTATCACTTGCGTGTCCCTCCTACCTGCCAGCTGGATGCACTGTACCCAGACAGTGCTATACACATGTAATTGTAATTATTGAGAAAAAGTTAATGAATTAAAATGCTGCCGCCAGATACGATGGCCATGGGAGCTATCCCCTTGTTGTTTTAAGGGGGGGGAAATACAGAAAAAGGAACAAAATAAAAGGAGCACACCTGTATCCATACTGGAAAACAGTGGGAAAAAAAAAAAAAAAAAAAACATTGTCCCATTTTTTCAGGACCCCTAAAAACATTGTCCCATTTTTTGATTTATGCGTGTCCATCTTTGCGCAGGGGCCAAATTTCCTAATTTCTCAAATTTCCAAATCTCCAAATTTCCAGATTGCCAGAAAAAAAAACCGTGTGAAAAAGAAAAAAAGAAAAAAGAAAACCGAAGTGGACCCACGTTCTGGCATTGAAATCCGCAGGTTTGAAGAAGTGTGGCACAGGTTCCTTTTTTTTTTTTTTTTTTTTAACTCGTTTATTGTGGCCAGTTCCAAGATTGACGTGTCAGAATTCACGTGGACCTCGGCATGCCCTGGTGGATAGAAATCATGAACCTGGACGTTACATGTACTGTTATGCTCTGGTGGGGGCAGTCTTGAAATTCTGCCTTTCAATAAGTACTAGGTAGCAATTGCATCCCTTTGGCAGAGCTAATTTTGCTCCTGCCCCCTCTGGGGAGTCTCTGGTGCAAATGCATATGGACCCACGCGGCGCACCGATTCAGCCACCACGTTAACGGCCTAAGAACGTGGAGGTACTGGTGGTGTAGCCAAAAAACAGGTTCAAAAGAACAAGAAGGGAAAAAAAAAAAAAGCACACACTTGTCCCACGTCTGCTGTGGAAATTTCCAAAGCTCAGTGAACTGCTGTACCACTTACCCATAGGGAATGGTTGCACTCATCGCCATCCACCAACATTTTCAATACATCTGGATAGATTTGAGTCCAGATGCATTCAAAATGATGTTCGCGGATGGTGAGTAGTGCAACTAGGCCCATAATTTTTTGGCTCAGGAGCAAGTTGCCCGAAAAGAGGTATGACTAGGATCTCCGTTAGGATATTGAGTGCCTGCTTGCTCGTCTGTTTCCTTTCCCAGAGTTCATCCTCCCACTCCTCTGAAGTCGCCACGACCTCCGGCCCCCCTCTCCTTAGATTCCGCCCCCCGCCCCCCGCCAGCCCTTTCCAAGGAAAATGAGTAGCTGGACACAAGGAGTCTGTGGATTGGTTTTCTGTCACAAGGTACAGACGAGGCCCAGGGTGTTGGGCCATTAAAGAATGGCATTGGCTGCATGCCATCACCCTGCATTGTGAACTGTCGCAGTAGGAATGCTCCATTGAGCAAAAAAGTATTACACTTGCTAAGACTTATTTGTTTATTTTTTTTGCTATTCTAGCACGATGGACTTTACCAATAATGGTCTCTTGCCATTTATTCACTCACCATGCATCCGATATTGTTTGTCTTTCGCAGCACCTGTGTGTGTGTGTGTGTGTGTGTGTGTGTGTGAGAGAGAGAGAGAGAGAGAGAGAGAGAGAGAGAGAGAGGCAAGATACGCAATCTGAGGAGAGTTTGGCTGAGAGTGTTGCTCTTTGTGTGTGTGTGTGTGTGTGTTATGTGGTGGTGCAGTTGAAGGAAGATTTAGTGCCAATCACGACAGAGAATTTCAAGCAACTTTGTTTGAGGCCTCAGGGACAAGGTTACAGAGGCTCTCGCTTTCATCGGATAATCCCTGGCTTCATGTGTCAAGGTACTTCCACCAAATTGTCTTCCATCCTGTCTCCCTTCTCCCCTTCCTCCCCCCCCCCCTTCCCCCTTTCCTCCCCCCTTCCTCCAACCTTTT